AATTCAATTGTTTCCTATACTTTTAAGCTTTTTGTCTTATCTAATATGTTTGTCCAGGGAATTATTTAGATAATAACTCCAAGACACTTGATGCTCCTCAAAGGACGTCACTATGGAACCCAAATAGTGTTATTGTAAATATGATATTTCTCCTATGATGCTTGCCTTGTCTCCAGTGGGAGCACAGGGTGAGTTGGATTTGTGAAATTAATCCTTCAGCCTAAGGTTTACAGTTAGTAAAATGCTTGATAACTATCTTATTTCGAAAAAGAAACAATCAAGGCCTTGGCCATGTAGTTCAGTTGGTTAGAGCATCGTCCAGATAGGCCAAGGTTGTAGGTTGCAGGTTCGAGCTCTGGTCAGGGCATAAACAAAAAGTAACCAGGAAATGCGTAAATAAGTGGAATAACACAAATTGATCTCTCTCTCTCTCTCTCTCTCTCTCTCTCTCTCTCCCTTCACTCACTCTCTTTCTAAAAATCAATTTAAAATAAATAAAAATAAGAAATCAAAATTTTAAAATAAATGTCCCCTGGAAAATCTACCATTAAAAATTATGAATGTATGTTTGGCTGCTGATAGTTTGATATAAATAAAAACTATTTAATTACAAGTAGTATTGCTTCTCTTGTCACTGGGATTTTTTTACATGAAATACTGAACATTAGGTCCTTGGTAGTGCTTAATTATCTGAGCCTGTGACAGTAAATTCACCAAATTAATAAGCTAAACTGTATCATATAGCTAATTTTGTAAAAACTTTCAAGATTTGGCAATTTCATATGGTTCAACTTAGTATTTTTCAGTAATAAGGACAATGATCTAGCACCATATCACTACATGCTTAAATATTTGGGACTGCGCATTTTATAACAAGTGTTAAACATGCATATGTAAATGTGTTAAATTTTTATAATTTTTCACACAAAAAAGTTATGCCTACTACTTTACTCTCGGTTCTCTTAGCACTTAAATATAGCCTGTATAAATAACAATATATATATATATATATATGCCTAAGCGACCATTACAACCAAATGACCAGAACATCTGGAACGACCAGTAGCTATGATGAGCACCGACCAGCAGGAGCTGCCCCCTGATGGTCAGTGTGCTCCCACAGTGGGAGCACCGCTCAGCCAAAAGCCAGGCTCATGGCTGGCAAGCACGCAGCAGTGGCGGGAAGAGTGGAGAGCTGGGCTCAGGCTCCTCCCAGGCTGCCTGCCGCTTTGTGCACCACTACATCCCCCAAGGGGTCCCAGATTGTGAGAGGGAGCAGTCTAGGCTGAAGGACCCCCAACCGGTGCACAAATTTGTGCACTGTGCCTCCAGTTTATTTATATTTGGGTTGTATGTGTTCTGAATTATCCTTCATATGGATCTGTTTTTCATCTCTACCTAGATAACAAACTCGTTGAAAACAGGGACTATTCTCCAGTTGTTTTATTTCCAGTTCAGTGTTCTACACACAGGAAGCTCAAAATGATGATGGGCAAATTGTTTATCTACAGTGTGACTAATTAGCAGTGAGACTACTCATAGGTATTTGTGGTCCTGCTTAATTTTTCTATGTACTGCTAAAACAGTAAATATTGATATTTGTATCTCTCCAGAATCTACTTTAAAAAGTACATCAGTCAAATCAGACTTTTAAAATACAATTAAAGCACCGCAATGCCTCTATCTGGGAGAGCATTCTAACGTAAGATATAAATTCAGCTAATGAACACCCATTATAGTAGGTTATGGTATTCAGATTCAATAGACAGCTTTTTAAAAGTCTAGCCTTAAATTGAATTGCGTTACCCATTTTCATGCCAATAAATGTTAGGGTGTGTTTTACACTTGTAACTAAAGTGGATCACTGGTCTGAACAAAAGACTCTGAATTGCAATCTCACCCCTAACAATGACACAGATTTACTAAGTGACCCAGAACAAGTATATTTTCTGTTAACCTTCCTACCTGGTCAAATGGACACACCCTAATATATTTTGGGAAATGCTGTTCTTTTAATTCTCATCTGAGGATATGTTTTCATTGACTTTTAAAGAGAGGGGAAAAGGGAGAGAGAGAGAGAGAGAAAGAGAGAGA